CACACACACTCACACACTCACACACTCACACATACTCACACACTCACACACTCACACACTCACACACACTCACACACTCAGACACACTCACACACACACTCACACTCACTCACTCACACTCACACACTCACACACTCACAAACTCACACACACTCACACACTCAGACACACACACACACTCACACTCACACTCACACATTCACACACTCAGACACACTCACACACACACTCACACTCACACTCACACACTCACACACTCAGACACACTCACACACACACTCACACTCACACACTCACACACACACTCATACACACTCACACACTCACACACACTCACACACTCACACACTCACACACTCACACTCACACACACTCACACACACACTCACACTCACACACTCACACACTCACACTCACACACAATCACACACTCACACACACATTCACACTCACACAACTCACACACACACTCACACAACTCACACACACACTCACACTCACACACACTCACACACACGCACACACACACTCACACACACGCACAGACACTCACACATACACTCACACTCACATACACACACTCACACACACTCACACTCACTCACACTCACTCACACACACTCACACACACGCACAGACACTCACACATACACTCACACTCACATACACACACTCACACACACTCACACTCACTCACACTCACTCTCACACACTCACACACTCACACCCACTCACACACACTCACACTCAGACACACTCTCACACACACTCACACACTCACACTCACACACTCAGACACACTCACACACTCACTCTCACACACTCACACACTTACACACACTCACACACTCACACACACTCACACTCACACACACTCACACACACACTCACACACTCACACTCACACACACTCACACTCACGCACTCACAAACTCACACACTCACACTCACACACACTCACACACACACTCACACACTCACACACACACACACTCACACACATACACTCACACACACTCACTCACACACGCGCACACACTCACACACTCACACTAACACACACTCACACTCACACTCACACACTCACACACACACTCACACACACACTCACACTGACACACACTCACACACTCACACACTCACACTCACACACACACTCACACTCACACACACTCACACACTCACACACACACTCACACACACTCACACACACTTACACACTCACAAACTCACACACACTCACACACTCAGACACACTCACACACACACTCACACTCACACACTCACACTCACACACTCACACACTCACACACTCAGACACACTCACACTCACACACTCACACACACACTCATACACACTCACACACTCACACACTCACACTCACACTCACACACACTCACACACACACTCACACTCACACACTCACACACTCACACTCACACACAATCACACACACACTCACACTCACACAACTCACACACACTCACACACACACTCACACACTCACACACTCACAAACTCACACACACTCACACACTCACTCACACATACGCACACACTCACACACTCACAAACTCACACACACTCACACACTCAGACACACTCACACACACACTCACACTCACACACTCACACTCACACACTCACACACTCACAAACTCACACACACTCAGACACACTCACACACACACTCACACTCACACACTCACACTCACACACTCACACACTCACAAACTCACACACACTCACACTCACACACTCACACACACACTCATACACACTCACACACTCACACACACTCACACACTCACACACTCACACACTCACACTCACACACACTCACACACACACTCACACTCACACACTCACACACTCACACTCACACACAATCACACACTCACACACACATTCACACTCACACAACTCACACACACACTCACACACTCACACACTCACACACTCACAAACTCACACACTCACACACTCACACACTCAGACACACTCACACACACTCACACTCACACACACTCACACTCACACACACGCACACACACACTCACACACACGCACAGACACTCACACATACACTCACACTCACATACACACACTCACACACACTCACACTCACTCACACTCACTCTCACACACTCACACACTCACACCCACTCACACACACTCACACTCAGACACACTCTCACACACACTCACACACTCACACTCACACACACTCAGACACACTCACACACTCACTCTCACACACTCACACACTTACACACACTCACACACTCACACACACTCACACTCACACACACTCACACACACACTCACACACTCACACTCACACACACTCACACTCACGCACTCACAAACTCACACACTCACACTCACACACACTCACACACACACTCACACACTCACACACACACTCACACACACACTCAGACACACACACACACTCACACAATACACTCACACACACTCACTCACACACGCACACACACTCACACACTCACACTCACACTAACACACACTCACACTCACACTCACACACTCACACACACACTCACACACACACTCACACTGACACACACTCACACACTCACACACTCACACTCACACACACACTCACACTCACACACACTCACACACTCACACACACTCACACACACTCACACACACTCACACACTCACAAACTCACACACACTCACACACTCAGACACACTCACACACACACTCACACTCACACACTCACACTCACACACTCACACTCACACACTCACACACTCAGACACACTCACACACACACTCACACACTCACACACACACTCATACACACTCACACACTCACACACTCACACACTCACACTCACACTCACACACACTCACACACACTCACACTCACACACTCACACTCACACACAATCACACACACACTCACACTCACACAACTCACACACACTCACACACTCACACACTCACACACTCAGACACACTCACACACACACTCACTCACACACACACTCACACACACGCACAGACACTCACACATACACTCACACTCACATACACACACTCACACACACTCACACTCACTCACACTCACTCTCACACACTCACACACTCACACACACTCACACACACTCACACTCACATACACACTCACACACACTCACACACTCACACACACTCAGACACACTCACACACTCACTCTCACACACTCACACACTTACACACACTCACACACTCACACACACTCACACTCACACACACTCACACACACTCACACTCACGCACTCACACACTCACACACTCACACTCACACACACTCACACACACACTCACACCCTCACACACACACTCACACACACATTCAGACACACACACACACTCACACACACTCACACACATACACTCACACACACTCACTCACACACGCACACACACTCACACGCACACTAACACACACTCACACGCACACTAACACACACTCACACTCACACACTCACACACACACTCTCACACACACACTCACACAGACACACTCACACACACTCATACACACTCACACACTCACACTCACACACACTCACACTCGCACACACTCACACACACTCACACACACTCACACACACTCACACACTCACACACACACTCGCATATACACTCACATTCACACACTCACACACACAAACACACACTCACACACTTACACTCACACACACACGCACTCACACACACACATCATCTTAGCCCAACCTCACACGTATCACCTCATACACACACATACTCACACACCTCACATACATCACCACACACACACACACCATCACAACCCAACCTCACACACATCACCTCACCTATGTTACCTCACACACACACTACCTCATAAAGACCATTTCAATCTTCATTGCAGAAATTCGAATCAACAGCAAACTGAGAAAAAGTGATTTGTATGGACACAAATGTAAACATACTAGCCTAAACAAAAGACGTTTTACCTGTAACCAAAGAGATACCATGAAGTGAAGTCAAGCCTCGGGCTTTGTGGGAAAAGACAACAGAAACATGCCTACCTAATTTTCTAGCCTGTGAGCCTGTGATACAGGGTAAGGAATGTGGACAGTGAGCGGTGGCCAGAGCCATGGTTGTTCCTGATGAAGTCACACACTACAGGAAGCAGTCAGAGACCTGTGAGGTCATTATATCTAAATACGGCCCACCCTGCAAATGGGAAACTTGTTCCCCAAGAACCTAACTGATTCTGTTCTTGTGACTAGATAGTGTTCAAGGCCTGGTTTCTACGCTAGTATATTCCTCAATACCAGCCCTCTCTACCCATGAAAAGGAATTGCTCGGTCTTCATCTACAATGCAGCCAGTGTTTGCTGGAATGTGTGAACTTTTTATAGTACTGGGTCCCATCACAGAAGTTCAGTGACTTTCTGAAGTCATTGCACATTCCTACTCTAAGAATGAGGTACAGCCGGGCGTTGGTGGCACACGCCTTTAATCCCAGTACTCGGGAGGCAGAGGCAGGTGGATCTCTGTGAGTTCAAGGCCAGCCTGGTCTACAGAGCAAGTTCCAGGACAGCCTCCAAAACAATACAGAGAAAGCCTGTCTCGAAAAACAAAAACAAAAACAAACAAACAAAAAAAGAATGAGGTAGCATGACCAGGGTCAGTGTTCTTAATTGAGCAGAAATTCTGGTTTGGAAGGGAAAGGAAGATCTGTGTCCATGAGGGGTCCCAAATTCTCTCGGGCAGAACTGCAAGGGAAGCCAAAGTGCCCAGATCTAAAAACAGAGGTGGCTTTGTGGTTAAAAGCACTGGCTGCTCTTCCAGAGGACCCATGTTCAATTCCCAGCACCCCCCACAGCAACTCACAACTGTCTGTAATTCCAGTCCCAGGGGACCAATACCCTCATGCAGACATACATCAGTCAAAACACTAATTCACATAAAATAAAAATTTTTATTTTTCTCAGCCAGTTCTTTTATCGGCAGGCTGCATTTCAAGTCACAAAGAAAAGATCAATTATTTTATTAATAAAATAAAAATTTTAATTAAAAAAAACTCAGTGTGAGCTTTAGGCCCAGCATGGTGACTGGTATTCAAATCACCTCACACACACAAGGATTAAGTCCTGGGGAAAATGAACCTCAAGTCCAGAGCAGCAAGGCTAGGGAGGTTGTAGCAGTCACAGGGAATTTTGGTGAACACCAGGAAAGTCAAGGAGAAAGGCTACCCCGTGCCCCACGGAGCCAGCCCATGCTTCTGAGCCTGCAGTTCTGCAGACAACTTTGCAAGAGCTGTGCCAGGCATGTGGGCCGTGCCAGCAGAGAGTGTCTGGTCTCTGATTCTCAGCATTAGCGCAGACCTCCGGGGCCAGCACGTCTTTACCAGGACAGCAAGTCCTGCCAGTGCCTAGATCTCCCTAGAAGAAAAGAGTAGCAAGTGCTGTGAGTCAGAAGAGGAAGAGGGTTTGCAAGGCTCAGCCTGGGGAGCCCAGCGATTGCTTGGGAGAGATTTGAGAAGGATGATGGGGTGCGGGGGAGGGGGAGAGGCGGGGCTTCTGAAAAGACACAGCCAGAGATAGCTGTTTCGATGCTACTATGGTTCTTATTTTTCACTTCAGGCTAGTGTCTGCAGATGATAGACCTGTCTCCTAAGAGGCAGATTCACTGGAAGCCGGGGAAGGTGAGGCAATCAGGACCAGGCACCTCCCCCTCTTTGTGCCTGCACCTAGCCCAAGTTCCCTCTCTGCTGCTGTGTATTGTGTTTGCAGGATGCAGAGGCATGACTAAGCTGATTTGTATTCTGCCAGCCAAGGGAAAATATAATTAACAGGGCAGCAGCGAGGCTCTCTACAAAGCCCATGGGAAAGTCCCAGAAGGAAAGGACCCGCGCCGTGCAAACCCGGGATCGCAAAAGACTGGAAAGGCCACTCTGCTGTAATCCCACGGGGGTCTCCTCGCCAATGCCCACAATCAACAAAGGGAAAATAACATGAACCCTTGCCTACCAGGCGTTAAGAAGGAGCTGCCACTCTTAGAACTGAGTGTGGGAAACCTCGCAGACCTCAGTGAGGGTTTTCTGGCCTCCTGCTGCCCTAGCCTGCCAATTATGATTCACACCTTCATTCCGGGCAACAGATCAATTGACACAGCAACCCTGATACACCTTCCAGCAGAGACGAGACCCTTCCCTGAATCTAGGAAGAAGCAAGACTAACCGTGGCTATACATACACTGGGCTTATAATTAGGCGTCAAGAGGCCCAAGAGAGGAATTGGGAGGCCAGGGGACTTGCATTAGCCTGCTCTCAGCTAATCACCTTTCTTCCAAAGCAAACGAAGAAATCTGTCCGTTGATGCATTTAATTAGCCCTTTATTTTAACCTCTGGTGGCTCCTATCCCCAGTGAAAAACTATTTGCCAAGCTTTCCTGATTTTTTTTTTTTGATTTAACTTTTAGCCTTTTTGGTACCTTTTCTGAAGCTTTCAACTTTTTTTCCCCCCAATTTTTATTTTTCATGACTTTAACAAATTAGTGCCCGGCTTCCCCTACCTTGAGACTCTGGATCTTTCATGCATCTTCCCGGAATAAGATGAAATAAAAGTCTTGGGCAGCTGCTTACCCGTCTCCCACCCCTCTTCTGCTTAGGTATTGATATCTGCCGCCTTCCCGCACTAACAACCGTGTGTGGCCAGCATCACTGCCTCCCCAGGCAAATACCTACCTTTTATCGTGAGACTAGATTCTCCGTCATTCACTCTTTGAAACTTAGAGCATACCAACGTCGGTTTCAATCCGGAATCAGAACTGCTCTGTGCCGAAGATCTGAGGTTAGAGTTCCGTGAATATAGACACAGTTTTATGAAAGGTAATAGTTTAGTGTTGGTCTTTAACAAAATGGAGATGTTATCGAAACAATATGATGCAGCTAAGTCAGTTTGCAAGAGGACAGAGACAGACTGACGTTCTAATTGGTAAGTGGTGGGGACGGTTCTGTGTTCTGTTCTACTTTTTTAGTAAAAGGTGGGTGAAAAATTTATACAATCTAATCAGAAACTAGAGTGTGGTGACTTTTTATTAATAAAGGGTCAGTCGCTTTTAAGAAAAGATTATCCAGTGGGAAATCACCATGTACTATTGAGTCTAATTCACACTTTGTGTTTGGTACTGAAGAAGAAAAGATAAAGCTGGGTTGTAGCTCAGTCGATGAGGTGCTTGCCTGGTGGGCATGAAACCATAGGTTAGATAGCCAGTAACTAGTGACTGTGTGCCTATAAGCCCAGCATTTGAGAGGCCAGGCCAGGAAGATCAAAAAGGTTATCCTCTTATACAGCAGGTTGGAGGCCAGCCTGGGATACATAAGACACTGAAGAGAGAGAGAGAGAGAGAGAGAGAGAGAGAGAGAGAGAGAGAGAGAGAGAGAGAGAGAGAGAGAGAGAGAGAGAGAGGAGAAGGAAAGAAATGAGTCAGAAGCAGTAAGCATATTCTAAAGCAAGTATCAAGTCATTTAAATAAGCCCAGAAATGAGAAAATTCAGGCAAATTGTCTGTTATCCCCTAGTCTGGTGCTATCATTAAAGGCTTTGTTGTCAGTGAAGCTGTACGCAAAACAGTTCCAGTCATGTCCCTGAGGAACACTTAAAACGTTATTGGCTTGACCATAAAATTTCATCATTGCATTAGGAAATCAGTCTCTCCTGTGTTTCCAAATACAAAACGCTCAGGTTTGTCATTAAAATTCTACCAGTGACAAGAGAAAGCTGTGAGGTTTACCTTTGCTCATCCTTTGCTGAAATAGCTGTGTCTGTGAACAGTGACGTTCTGGGTAGTCATTTCACCCCTCTGAGCATCAGGCACTCCCCAGGAAGAAAGGATACCAATCTCTCCCCTCCCTCAGAGGTGGTTGTAAGGTCAAATGAGGCAGCACCTGTGTGAGCACCTAGCTGAGTATTACTCATTCACTCATTTGAGAAATGTTGACTGGCCGGATGTGGTGCCCAGGCGTCACGGACAGGAGAGTTGCTGCAAGCAACACAGAGGTTCTTTGATGTTTGCCCTCGTTCTTCTCTAACACTGGAACCTGAGAAATTCACCAAACCTGTCTAGGTTCCTGATGGACACTCTCCCTGTACTCTAACCCTCAAGCTTCTAAAGGGTTTGACTGGAGCCTCCGGGAAAGCTCACAAATCCAAGTGGTTTCCTCTAACTCTGAGCACCTGCTAGTCTTCAGATGTATCAAGTCACTCCCCTCCGCACCTACAGAATGTTTCTCTCCTGGGGAACTGTGTCTACTGGCTCTGGGTTACATAGGCCCCAAGCCCACATCTCCAGCTCTGGCCCTGGGCAGCTGTACATAGAACCAGATAAAAACAGTCCCCGCGACAGTCCTGGACACCCTGGACGTGGAGTGAAACCCATGTGAAGATCAGGCGTGGCAGGCTGCTCGTGCGGAGGACCTGAATTCAGTTCCTTGCACACATTCTGCCCATGACTCTAGCTCTGGAGACTCTGACACCCTCTTCTGGAGTCTTCTGTGTACAGGGCCCGTACCTACACAGATGCACAAGTAACGTCCAGTAAATCTCTGTTCAGAGGCCTTTACTAACGTCCTCTGTTTGGTTGACACACGTCAGACAGTGTGTCCCTCTGCTGCTCTGCCTAAGACCTACCGTTCTTTGTCCGTTTCTCCTTCCTCTACAGCTCAGCTGCAGGTCTCTCTCTCTCCTGCATGGAAATCCCTCCCGCCACTCTGGAAACCTGAGTAGACTCGGGCTAGGCGTGTTGCTAGGCAGCTCTTGGCCTGAAACCGTGCAGTCTGTGCTAGACGCTTGACCTCGCACATGCGTTCTCATGACTTTCCAGGCTTGGGCCTATGGGTTCCCGCTGGTGAACGAGCTGTAACCACAGTGTCTGCAGAACCTCCTAAATTGACGGGGAAAGTGGGAAAGCTGGTTGCAGGGACAAATAAATAAATAAATAAATAAATAAATAAATAAATAAATAAATCCTTCAACATGATTCATCTAGTCTTTAGGGAGGAGGCTTTATCATAGCTTTTACATTTACAGGCCAAAAATAAATCACCTTTTGGGATACAACTGAATACATTTTTACAAATCTATATACTAGTGTAATCAATATGTAAAACAAACTAATCACACGCACCCCCAAGTTTCCCTTATACCTTTGTAGCCAACCCCTGTCCCCACTAGTTCCCTGGGAACCCTGAGAGACACTGTCCCTATAGGTGTGACCTTTCCAAAGCATTATACCCTGGCATATCACAGCCTGACCTGACTTTGGGCTACAAGACTGCTCAGTGGGTAAAGGCGCTGGCTGCCCAGCCTCATGATCTGAGTCCCAGCTCCAAGACCCACATGATGGAGGAGAGAGAAGACTCTAGAGAGTTGTCCTTTGACCTCCATGCCCCCCAGCCCCTGCATGACACCACACACACATACACACATACACACACCACACACACACCACACACACACACATACACACATACACACATCACACACACATACACACACATACACACATACACACACAGATACACACACACCACACACACCACACACACACATACACACATACACACACACACCACCCACACACACATACACACATACACACACACAGATACACACACACCACCCACACACACAACACACATACCACACATACACACACACACATACACATACACACAACACACATACCACACATACACACACACAAATACACACACACACCACACACACACACACATACACACACACCACACACACATACACACACCACACACACATACACACACACATACACCACACACACATACACACACCACACATACACACACATACACACACACCACACACACATACACACACACACATACACACACCACACACACATACACACATACACACACATCACACACACACAACACACATACCACACATACACACACACACACAAATACACACACACACCACACATACACACACACACCACACACACACATCACACACACAACACACATACCACACATACACACAAATACACACACATACACACACCACACACACACACATACACACACACCCCACACACATACACAAATACACACACCACACACACATACACACACCACACATACACATACACACACAAGAAAAATGAAAACAAGGGTCAGGTGTGGTGGTGGTACCCACCTTTAATCCCAGCAACCTAACAGTAGAGAAGCAGAGGCAGGGGGATCTCTGTGAATTTGATGCCAGTCTGGTCTACATGTAGAGTTCCAGGACACTCAGGGCTACCTAGCGAGACCCTGTCTCGAGATAAAATAATAAAAGGATGAGACCCTTCCTAAGTGGGGGCGGGGACAGAAGCAGCCTTTCCATAGGTAGTTGGGTGGATAGTCACCCCTGCTGGAAGAATGAGGGGAGCCGGAGCTCACTCTAAGCGCAAGAGCAGCAGATACTGAGTTTTCTGCCTCATTTCAGTGTCCAAAATGTCCACTCAGAAACAGTCCCTCGGCGAGGCCTCTGTGTGTTATTCCCCACCTGCAGAATCAGCGGAGCCTCCCTTTCCTTACCGACCCCACTATTAACACCACCCACAGCAAGACTAGACTAGACCTCTGTCTTCATAGAAATGAACTGAGAACTGAGTTTCTCCCCCAAAGCCCAGATCCTCCCTGATCTCCCTGTCAGAGCACGCACGGGAGCAGGTGTTCAAATGCCCAAAGAGCCATGCCTACTGCTGTGCTGCGTGTCTCACCAGGGTGAGAAAGCAATGAGTAACGTCGTATGAAAAAAAAAAAAATCATCTTTACACAACTCCAGTCCGTGTCTTAGGCCTCTCCTTGGGTAATGTGTGGTGGCGGCAGCTCTTCTGTCAGATCCGCTACCAGTGATCCAGAAATCCAGTCCGTGTTTTCCATCCTTCCCTCACCTGCCTTTCAGTAGCTCGGAGTTTGATCTCACCAGCGGTGGGAGCAGCAGGCAGGAAATTCCAGCATCTGGCGACAAAGGGACTGTATTAGGGGCGGCTGAAGCGTGACTGCCAGTGGGAAATCCACCTGCATCACCACAAGGCGAGGGCACATCTGGAGAGCAAGCTGGAGAGGAGGAGGCAAGTAACGGTCAACTGGTGGGCTCCTGCTCGGAGACTCCGAGTCGCTACCTCCGCGTATTAAACCGTGCTCTCCCGAAGTCCAGGCTGAGAGGCTGCGACAGCATGGCTGGGCTTGAACCGCTCTGCAAAGCAATGGTTTTGGTTAAGAGATGTCTCGCTTGTAGCTAGAGTGGTCTCAGCAATTCCTTGGGGGAGCAGAAATGCCACGAGACCGTGTCACTCAGAGTGTTTGGGTCTGCGTTAGCAGCACCAATAGTTCCACCCTGAAGGGAAAACGTGCTGGGGTACTGCTCCCCAGGTTGCCAAGGGTGGTGTACATGCGTGTGTGTGTGTGTGTGTGTGTGTGTGTGTGCTAGAGCAAGCGTGTGAAAGCTGACAGCTACACAGTGTGGATTGCTCGATGCCTTGGGATTTTGTTCACATTTGTTTAAAGCTAAGGGCTTCCTTTTAATTTAGAAGAAATTAGTCTGTTGTTGTAGTAAGGATGCTGATGATGATGATAATGATAATAATAATAGTAAGTTCTTTCTATGAGCTTAGAAACACGCCTATACACGCCAAACTGAAAAGTACCACCAGAAGGAAGCATGCGTTTACATTCCTGCAAAATACAATAACCCCTAAATAAAACCATAGAACTAATCTCTTGAAGAAATACAAAGCATGTAGGTTCCTACAGTCGTTGTCTTCGTGTAATTGGTTCTGTTTATTTCGACTCTTTCTATGGGAGTTGGTATTTTTCCCCCCACTTTGAAAACTTGGCCACTAGTTGGTTATTCCTGGAGATGGTTTGAATCCTCACCCTCACATTTGCAGAAAACTCTCAGGATTTGTTTCTCTCAACCCCGACTGACAGCTGGTAGAACATTGGTGCAACGGATTCCCTGAATTGACTTCAGCATTTTCTTTACATGATACCTCATCATCATTAGCACTTACAAGTTCATAGCTTTCTGTATCGGTGTGGTGTGGCCTTACCCCAGTGCTCTTCGATTTACGTCACTGAAGTCTGAAAAGGGAGCCCTTCTTTTGAATGGGAATCAGGAAAACCTAGAACTCCTTCGGTTATCTGCGGCGGTGGGGGAGGGTTCTTCTCCTGACAGCTGGTGTGACAGGGTGGGCTTACCTGGGGGCAGGAGGAGCAAGAGGATAGGAAGTGTGAGGAACTCCCTCTGTGCACACACAGCTTAGCTCTTTGCAGAAACAAGAGAGTGATAACATCCCATCACAAGGGGAGAAGCCTGGTGCCCCTCGGAGCCATCAAGTTCATGTCATTGATGGGCACCCTACACACACACACACACACACACACACACACATGAGCACGCACGCACGGTCATTCCTTCCATGTTCGCCTGCCAGGCTAGGCTGAGTCTTGACCCACAGTTAATTCTGCCACGCCCCCTGACTCGTACCCAGAAGAAATCATCAGGTGGATGATCAGGGCAGGGAGGAACACAGACAGATCTTGGGGAAAGGCGCCTATGCCTCTGCTCTTTCTGACTCTGTCCCGGTAGTGTCCAGATGACACCTGCTCAGCATAACAAGTGTTCGCAGGTTCAACACCTTAGCCCTGCTCAAGGTGGGGAGGCTCGAGTTTGAAGTCAGTATCTGTGCTATGTGGCCAAGGCCCGCAACAGTATGTGTGAACCCCACAGCTACTGAAAAGTCAGTGAGAGAACTGATAATAGCAACCAGTTCTCAAAGTCATTTGTTCACCATTGGCTTTCCTAAAGATCCTGGCGCTATTTTCCTCATGGAACCTCACTACATTTTAAGATTTATCTAATGTTACCCACATCCCACAAATCAGGAAACTTAAGTCACAGCACCTTTAGGTGGGGAAAGGTGAACCCGTTTCCTAGGACATGGTCCATAATGTCCTGGCTTTTACATTCTCAGGACTTCCAGATTCAAGATAATTTGGCATAAAAATGTGTGGCCTTGGTGTTCTCACTAGTAAAAAGACGTGCCATAGCCTAGGCTTGCGAAATAAGGGACATGAGAAAGCTCTCTATACTGCCGGTGACTACCCTTGCCTCCAGGACTATATATATACTCTGTGTGCTGCTCAGTCTTTAGGTGAGGCAGTGAGGAGTCCAACTGTAGCAAATAGGAAAAGACAAAAGCAGAGTGGATACCTTGCTGCTACAGAAAGGCAATCTCTTTTGTTCTGGGAACTTCGAAGTGATGCTTCATGGGACTCGGGATTATAAGGAATAATTGAGCGATGCATGTCAAAGAGAACAGGGCTTTGGGTTTTAGTTTCTTTCTTCTTGCCTGGGGAATGGACCAATGGGAAAAACACTTCCTTCATAATCTTGAGGGCCCTGGTTGGAATCTCCAGAACCCACATAAGCCCGATGCAGTAGCACATGGCTATAATCTAAGAGTCAGAGACAGAAGCACACAAGAGATCCTGTCTCAAGGAAGGTGGAAGTCAGGGACCAAGACCTGAGACTATCCTCTGACCTCCTT